AAGGCTCATGAAGGACAAACTGCGGTGGCGGCGTCAAAAACGGTTTTAGTTGTAAAACTATAAATATAATATTTGTTGTCTGTCATTGTAGCTGGGATAATTTTACTTATTAAAGCTCATAATCTTACCACTTGAAACATAAGTAGCCCTGAAGCTGCTGGTAGACATCGGTTGGAATTATCAAAGGTTTTTGACACCTGAGAGACACCGTAGCAACTCCTTTGCGTTTGGAAGCGGGGGTGGGGTGGGGGGAGAACGAGGGAGGATGATTCAGCCACTCAATCACTAGATGTCGCTGAAAACAACAAATCCTACACACTGTGCCTTTAATGATTTTACTTGTATAAATTAAAATTCCATCCTATTTAATCCTTGGTCACAAGGCTGCTTTCTTCTTTGCTATAACTTGTGCAGCACTGTTGAGGTACAGCAGAAAGGCCTGTCCAGAAGACTGATACGTTGTCCTTCTGTCTCTGATAAAAYGTTGTCACATATAGAAGAAGAGGCYACATTAGAAGCTGAGAGAGGAGCACTCAAAAGAGACAGATAAGAAGTTAAGCTCGATGGACTGTCATGTTTACACGGATGTGTCGCCATATCACAGCAGATGCTATTTTTGCTGCTGGTCCAGACTGCAGCGTAGCTTCCTTTTTATCAGTGTGAAAGACAATCTCTGTGCTCTCCGCTGACATAAAGGCAGGGGGTGAATCGTTTGGTTTACATTGTCTTGATTTAACCACTAATCTYTGTTGTTTAAATAGGCTCATGCATGCAGAAGGTGCTTGCAGTTGTTTTAGAATGTATGCGGAAGGAACAGTATGTGCAATATGTGCTGATGATTTTTATTCATTCTTACAGCACGGGTTTTTGTGAAATTCAAAACATAAAAACGGAACACTTTATCGAATCATTTTTTTATCCTTACAGCCTAAGATCGAGTGGTTGAAGAATCAGATGATCATTGGTGACGACCCCAAGTTTYGTCAGATTTCTAACCAGGGCATTTGCTCCCTTGAGATCCGTAAGCCGTGCAGCTTTGATGGTGGTGTGTACACCTGCAGAGCCAAGAATGCCCAGGGAGAAGCCACTGTGTCCTGCAAACTGGAGGTCAAACGTATGTACCAATAGGCATGATATATCATGCAAAATCCACCTTTTTAGCCATTAAGTACATTTTGTTGTCTATTTGGAGTCTCTAGGAGTACAGAAATTTTAATTTAGTCTCCCCTTGTGCGGCGTAGATATCTCTATATTCTGTTTGGGTTATATTTTTTCAACTTATTCAGTTTTTTCTATTCTCTATTATGTTTTCTTAACTATAACATCAAATTATTTGTAATAGAACTTCTAAATAAGGTCTGTACTTACAAACTAATCAATTTTGTTGTCATCAAAACTTTGACTGTCTCTGGGTTGGACTCTGGCTCCAACATGTAAGGCTGGATGAACAAGTCTCCTGTTGTTGACATCTTTTGATTAATTTGTGAATATAAAATTTCTGTGCAGCTTTATAGTCATAAACCGCTCTCTCAAAGTACAATGGACTGCTCTGGAATCTAGAAAGAGGTGGAGTGTGAAGCATCTCATTTGGATTTAAAGAGACAGCGTCAAAACGAGTTGATCCGAGACACACTTCACAAAAGGGGTGAAAGAGGGGCTTGTGGAGTTACAAGAAGGAGGAATTCAGACCAAAGCTTTGCAGTTCCACTTTATATAGGCCCCAACTGAATGATTTAAATGTTAAAAAGAAGGATTTTAAAGCAAGAAAAGTCTCCTTTAATACTCTCTTTGTTCAGGGTTGTGTTGTGCTGTGCTGTTGCAAAATGTTAATTCATTTGAAAATAATCTCCATTCTTTCTTTTTATATTTTTCTTCCAACAGAGGTTATTCTTCCAGAGGCCAACAAATAAAAAGGGGAAATAAACCAAAATACCCAAAGGTAAAGAAAAAATAAGCAGAATATCAATCATCAGTGTCACAGATCGTAAATGTAAATAGTAACCTCTACTTTCCAAAAATTACARCCCCAGTAGCTTAAAAACATGTTTTCAAGAACAAAAAAAAAGGAAAATGTAAAACCTGAAATACCTATTTTTGGTACTTTTAATGCTAAAACATTTTAAGTATCATGAGAGAAAATTACAGTAAAACATTTAAAAAATTCCCCATCCTAACTAATTTAATATCCAATATTTTAGGAAAATGTCACCAGAATAGGTTTTCCTTYTAAGGAAGGACAGCCACCTTGTTTTAAATATAATAAACATGTTTTTAAAATCATTGTACAATGTTTAGGGTTCTTGTACTCAGTTTGAAAACCACTGGCATCGGGACACCCTTAGTCACAAACCCTCAACTTATCCAAAATGAAGCGAATGGGATCAAAACTCCCTGCATACTTGATGTGTTCACACTTGTATATGTCGTCCTTTGATAACTTAAACAACGTTTAACACAAAGTACACACCATGCCCCGAAAAGTGATGCAAATGAGTGTTAAGATGTGGGATGAAAGAAACGGCTGAATAATAAAATATCCTTTCRAGGGGGAAAATGAAAGAGCAGACAGGAAACACCTTTGAGTGGGGGACAGGGGTGATGTCAGCACAGCCTCTAAAAATGACCCCAGATGATGTAATGCACAGCCTTACTCTTCACATTACCATGAGTTGACAGGCCGGTGGAGTTCTTGGAAGGAGGAAGAGGCCACAAACAAAACAGGCAGTCTGTGATAGAAAGTACTTATTGGGTTGTGAAGATAGAGACCTTTTAAAAAAGGCAATCCAAATATGTTCTACTCAAAAATACCTGGTTGTCTAAATTTAACTCTCGTCTTTATTTATCTTCCCATCAGTGCCTTTGAAGGAGCATCAWAATCCAGGTCTTATATTGTAAGTTGAGTTGTCAAATGCATTGCTTACATTGTTATGACAGAACGCTGCTAACCTGTCTTTTTTTAGGAACACAAATAATAAAATTTTATAAATTAGAGATATAGAAAATCAGTGCAATATCTTGTATGTGAACACAATGCACGTATAATAACTCCCTCCATCCCTCTATTTATTTAACCTTCCTGCCAGAAAGTTACAGTAAGTGAATGAAGAAGCTGCAGCTGGCTGGCTGTGCAGAAGTGTGAAAACAAACGAAGGGACAGAAGAGCAGACCTACATCTCTACATCTACTGTACCTGTACTCCCACACATCCTGACTGTCCCAGTCCTGATCCTGTTTGAAGACACACACCTCAACCATCTCAGTTTGACAGATGTGATATTTTAGTTGGCGTCTTGTATAAGGGACTGTAACTGTCACATGTCCATTTTTCTGTTTATGCACTAAGTCATTCTCTACACAATAAAACATCTGTGAATGCATTAATATGCTCATGAAATGACCGTTGATAATAAAACTATATTTTACTAAATTCAGTGGCTTTCTATTCTTTTAAAATATATTATTTCACATTTACCATTATGAATAAAAATACAGGTTTAATATGGTTTACAGCATGCTGTTAAATTTGTCAACGAGTGACTCTGAGATACAGATAAGTAGCCACTTCTATAGCTGTGTCCTTGTGTTTGGTTAATTGTGATACTGAGGTATTGACAATTTAGACTTTTTGAGTGGATGAGAGGATTAGAAA